GTAACACTTTCAAATACTTTCAAATTAATACAGATGTTATCTAATATTGTAATTATAATACTAATATATATATATATACTTTATTCTTTTTTATTAATGTAACAACATTTCATGTAATTAAATAAAAATTCCCATTTTTACTGAGCATGCCTGTATGCGTGATAATTGACTATAATGACTATTATGTTTAGACTACTACTCATTTATTTCCATAAATCGTTACATTTAATTATAACGTAAAATTATTACACGGATATTCGAATATATAAAAATTATTTGACATACCAATTTCGAATATGCTAATTAATGTGAATATTCGAATATCATTTATTCATATAAAGACTGATTAAAAATGTACGAGTAGCCTTTAAAGTGACAATTTTTCAGTTTGAGTTTCCTTTTTTTTCGGGTTTAAATTTAATTCACGAATTATAGTGCCGCAATCATCTTCAAGTCATAGTGTTGATAGAGTATATCTTTTCTGATCATTCTATGAGTGTAGCTGTTGATAATTATCGCTCATAAAAAAATCAAAGAATTTATGAAATTAGTAATAATGATAATGATAAAATTTCAAATGATTTTTATGATTACTGATTGGGGCCCAATTAAATTAAAATTAGGTGATTAACATAATGCCATTGCAAATTGTATCAGAGCATTCAAATAAAGAGAAACTAAGGGTAGTAAGCAGATTAAGCTTTTTACAATGTGTTGAAATATATGATAAAGATACTAAAAAATCCGCATAATTGTCTTTGCATGAGAATCAATGAATATTTCATTGGGGGATTTACACACATCCCATGAATGCAATAATACTACGAATTAACCAAAAAAGAACTATTATTCCTTGTAGCACAAGTTTGTAATTAATTAAGTACATAAAAAAAATTAACCAAAATCAATCTATTTAAAGTTAAAATAACCTCAAGTTCGTGTTTCCCAAATTTAGTTTAAAAACTGAAATTTATTTCATATGTTGAAAATTTTTTTTTTTCAAAATTTTAGTTAAAAAAAGTCTAAAATCGAAATTTCTTCTATATATTTATATATATATTGAATTTTTTTTTGAAATTTTTCCTTTTTCGCAAAGAAAAAAATGATCCTACAAGCTTTGATTTCGTTCGTTCGGCATGACTGGTATACTGTTTTGATCAGTTTTTTGATTTTCTATACAACAAGATATTACTATAATTATATGACCAGACAATCACCTTTACCAGGTCCATTTCCATTGCCATTTATTGGGAATGTTTTAGAAAGAGATTTAGGTAAATTGGCCAAGAGATGTCAAAAAAAATATGGTGATATGTTTGAATTATATATTGGTAATCAACGTACAATATGGTTATGTAGAGCTGATTTAATTAAGAGTTTATTATTAATCAACCAATAATTTCAAATTACGTAATAAAAAAACTCAACAAGAGCTGGATGGAATGAGGGCTATCACATGGTGTAGTGGGCTCACAAGTGCGCAAATAATCTTTCTAGTTTGAAAAAATCAAAACCATCATTTTGTTTATCTTAAGTAAAGCTATCAACTGGTGATTGAATTTGAAATTTTATTGCACAGAGCATGAGATATATCAGTTTAAAGCTCAAGCTAATTTACTATGTTTGGAAGGCCAAATTGAAGCATCGGACTGAGCTCATATACAAATAGTTGCCTAATTTTAAAACTTGAAAGATCATCTGTATTTATCAAAAATTAAAATACTTGGGTGTGTCCCACAGTAAAACTATGAAAATGACCTAGAATCTTGGTCATTTAATTGTAAATTTTTAGTTAATGCAGGTTTGTCACCAAGTTTAAAGACTTCATGATTGATTTGGTCAAAGATAGTTATTCACAAGTGGAAATTATTAAATTCGGGAATTTAAAATAATAAAAGAATAATAATGATGCTTATCTTATTAATTTATCTTCTTGGTTTTCAAGATTAAGTGGTCTCTCATACAAAACAATGACTACTAAAAAGGTTACATGCTAGAAAATTATTTTAATGAATTGAGAAATC